CAGTGGTTCTAAAGAGACTCTCAGTTTATTTATATTAAATGAACTAAACACTGAACCAAAACAGAAAAAAAACTTCAAAACATCTCTGAATATTAACAGAGAACCAGAATATGGAGACAAGTAGATTTATTTAATTCACCAGAAGGTTTAATTTTAGTTTATCAATATTTGAGATATCAGCCAGTACAAAAACACACAAAGATCTTAGAAACAGTTATGAAAATTATTACTGTGATTTAACCAATAATATAGCAGATATTTGTGATTTCATAATAAACATTTAATTATCATAAACTCACAAATGGAGTGACTGTCTGAGTGGAGGAAAGTTTTCTTACTATTAAAGAAGTTTAGTTTAAACCTCTGAGCTCCGCAGGACAAATCTGAGATTTTTAATTATGTTTTTCTTGTAAAGTCAAAATGTAAAAAAAAAAAAAAAAAGAAAGAAAAAGAAAGAAAAAGAAATATTTGATGCAAAATAGCTAGCTTCCTGCTGGGTGTGTAAAACGGGTCCAATAGGTATTTTATATTTCAGTTTGGGTCGAGATTCACACAGATGACACGGGAGTTGATGGTCGGCATAGTGTGTTGGCTTTGTTCAGTCCAGCTGTCTGAAACCTTTATAAGCTAGAGCACAGGTGTCAAATTTCAGTCCACAAGCCCTGAGGTCCTGCAGTTTTTAGATGTGCCACAGATACAAAATACTGGAATGAAATGGCTTAATTACCTCCTTCTTCTTGGTGAAAAGTTCTCCATAGTCTTGCTAATGACCTAATTATTGTATCCAGGTTTGGTGCAGCAGAGGCTCATCTGAAAGTTGCAGGACACTGGCCAGTTAAATAAAACGAGTCCAGAGCCACAAAACAACATTTTAAAATATCTACTTCATTTAATCTGTTTTAACTGTTAAAGCCAATATAATTTCTTTTTACTTTAAGGTTTTATTATAAAGGAAAACACAAAACTTCCTCAAAAAGATGATGTTACATTTTCTTATATGGAGGTTTTTATTTGCACGTTTTTAGTTTAATATCAAGAAAATAGATCTAAATGAAATGATAATTAATCAATTATTAAAATAAAAGTCAGCTAATTTAGTAATCGATTAATCAGTAACTGGAGTATTGATTGAAAAAAAGTTAATTTGCTGGAGAAAAAAAAAACATTCAGGTGTACTTAAACTAAAACTAAACAAAAAATCTATAAATTTATATTTATAATTAAATCAAATATT